CTTTTATTTTTTCGTTAAATTCTTTCATTTCAATATATATTCAAGTCTATTTGCTTATGATTTTGTTTCTTTATTTCGGTTGTTGTCGACTCTAAAGGCCATGTTAATTGTGTGTAACGTACCATTTTGTTGGATAATAAATAAAAATGTAATTGAATTGTATGGAAAGACCATCGACCATCCAAAATCAAAGGCAAAGTCAAACACAAATGCTAATGAGTGTTTGGTTCATCTGATTTCTCTTCAACATCGTCCAACAAAATCTATTGAGGATTTCTTTTGCATTGATTTTAACAAACGACGGTTTGACTCATGGGATACCTTTTTTTATTCACTCTTTCAATCTTTAGTGTCTGGGCACGCAACATAAACTACACAATGCGAATGATGTTTTACCTATTTGTTTCTCTGTACCGAGTGCCGGCCTTTTGTCCATATCTTCTATGTATCGTTTCTATTTTTTCTCTTCTTTCTACGTTTCTTTTCAGTTCATTTAATGGTTTCATTCGTTTTATTTTATATTTGGTTTACCTTTGATTCAATGGTGTATGCATGTGTCAACGCCAAACTGTTATGTTAATGTAAGATTTACTAAATTCATTTTAAATGATAATGATCTTCTCTGGGCCTCTCTCTCTCTCTCTCTCTTTATCTCTCTCTCTCACTCTCTCTCTCTCTCTCTCTCTCGTGCGCTGTCGACTTGTTGTATGTTTTCATGGTGTCGTCGTCATCATTGTGGCTGTTCTTTTTTGTGTATATGTCTTCTTCCATGCGTCCATTTCCATGATATTGTGGCCTTTTGATGCAAACGAATATATATTGTAATAAACGAAGTAACATAGATAAATGTTGTTTTCAAAGAGAGGAAGAGAGAAAAAAACGGCAACAAAAGTCGCATGTTCAAATACATGATGTGTATGGCATTTTGCCTGATAAATCTGCGCAATGAGGTGATGAATAACGACAGTGTAAATTATTGAGAAAAAAAAATCTGAAGAGACCAACCGTACTTGCTTTCATATCATTACAAAGCGCAAGCGATTTGGATGGTTATTTTTATGATCGTGTTCATTCTCAGGTGATTAGCAAAAATTTTCATGTTCAAAAGCAGCGCATATAAAATTAGTCGTTTCACATTGCAATTCCATTCAATAAAGCAATTGAATGTATTGCCCCGTAATGATTGCAGTGTGAAATTTAGTATGAAGGTAATTCTAAAAAAAAATTTGCCGCTGAATTTGAATAGCTCTTTTGGATGCATCGCTTTATTTTCAATCATTTAAAGCAATTATCCGTAACTGATTTGTCATAAAAGACTCGTTTACAATAATTTCTCATAAACATATTTAAATTTAATTGAAGCCTCCACCCTCTTTGCAAAATGAAAATGGGTCTACCAATTAGGCAAGTTAGAAACTGAGCAAATCGCGATATAATTGAAATTTATTATAAGACATTAGTTATTTAAAAAATAGGTTACATTTATTGCGATCTCAATGATCAAGCCCGAACAGTTTAGATGGGTAGAGAACAATCGGTATCAGACATCGGTATTTGAAAATGAGAGGCGATCATAAATTAAATAAAAATCGACATTAGCCATCACTTAAATGTGTATGATTACGGGCGCACATCGAAACGCACCAACCTACAACTCGTATTGCTGATGTTCATTCCTTTTTTCCGCTAAAAGAACAATAAATTGATAAAAAAAAATCTCAACTAATGGTAAACACATGGGATAAGTACCGATTAGAAACCGTTGTGCGAATTACCTATTCATATCACCGCAAGCCAATCACATAAATACCAATTACATTTACAATTAGTCAACTAGCAGAATGTGTGTAAGTTGTGCTGCGTTTTAAAGAGATAGAAACCCATAGAGAGAAAGAGAGTCGAAGCGCACTGTTTTTGCAATATACTTTTGCCTGAAAATATCAGTTGTAACGCCTCATTCCGTAAAGCAGATGAAAGTAAAAGATTTCGCCGGTTATTTTTTGTTTTCTATTCCTTCGTGTCAATTACGAATTCATGTGCATTATTTATCATTTAAAGTTGGTGTATCTTTCTCTCTCTCTGGCAAAAAAAAAACGATGCGATAAAATATTCACCAGCGAGATACTATTATTTTATTTGATGCATGTAAAATAGCAATGGCTGACACACGGAAGACCATTTAAACAGTCCAACCACATTTTAATAATAATAAAAATAAATTCGATCTTTCTCTTTTTCTCGCTCGCTCGCTCTAGCTGCAATTTACCACCAACGGTGGTCATAAACATGCATTTTAACAATTCTTTAATTTCAAACCGCAAATGCAATGCCGTTTCGGATTCAAGTCTATTTCGGTCGACCGTGATTATGCGCACGAATTAGGATAAATTGCAATGCGAATATTGCTTCTTCATGGTATTGCCTGCAGGATAACAACCAATAAAATCAAGGAAATGTGTTAAACTCTCATTTAAAGGCAAATTTTCGTTTTGCCCCCGGGCAAATTGAATATTTAAATATTTGTTTTGGCAGGCAACATGCACATTAGATATATTGACTCTTTGCACACAATCGATTGCAATAATTCTTTAATTTTCAGCGTTGCTTTTTCTTATTTTGGTTTTCTGTGCACATTTTGACAAATTACACGGTTTTTAATGTTGAAAATTGAAATGTTCAGCTCAGACAAAAGACAAATTAATAACATCTTATGAAAATGCACACTTGTTGATCGCAACTGTAATTTGGATCGGGTCTGTATGTCGACAGCAGCAACAAACAAATCAAGCGCATTGTAATTAATCACTGACTCAAATTTCCCCAAAGCATTCTCGATTGTGCGTAATATCTCGCAAATATAAAACTTGCACGATGCAAAATCAATTATAATTCGAAATATTCTTTTATGTCGTTACGCTGATTTTTATTCCGATGAAAATGGGCTGCGCTCAGATGAAAGACATACGCATTCACCGTTTTGACCACCCAAATATAAATAAACTGTTTTTATTGTTGAAATACCATCAATTTTGTATAACTATGCCGCTTATTATCTACTGATGCAACCATAAATTTATTATCAATTTTTTCTTTCGAAAAGTCATGGAATTTTTATATTCGCATTATGAAATCACACTTTTAGCGCACTTAATCCAAATTTATTGGTTTAAAAAGATTCAATCGAATTGAATGTTTTCGGGAAAATTGACTGCATCATTGAATTTTTATTTTCTAATCATGCATAGACGGTTTTTTTTACATAGCCGAATGATGTCAAACTTTTTGGTCTCGTTTTTATCGGTTTTATTCGTGTGAAGCGAACACATTAATGCCATAAAGATGACACTAACCGATTCAAAATTTATAGCTTACTTTTTGGGTGGCATCGCGATACAAATAAAACAGTATACTGTTTACTTTAGATTTAGTCAATTCTGGACCGTTTTGATCTGCTTCTTACTCTTTTTTCGTCATTTCCTTTTGTTGTGGATTTTTTTTCTTTTTTTTCTTTTTTGGTTTAAATTGAATTCCATTCTATTGGCAATGACCATGCATGGAGGTATGCGGTCATTTCAATAGATCACACATACACACACATAATATTCGATGTTTGTTACTTGAAATTTATCGACCGATTATCGCTTGAATATCACTGCTTTAGTTTGGCTTGGTTCGTGTATTTCCTTCAACGTATTTCCCAAAAACCACATTGACCTATTATGAAAATTTATATTTGTGACTTTGTGGATATTATACTATATATTACCGTCGGTTATAATACTGAATGTTATTGATCGATTTCACACAAATGCATGTCACACGAGTATTTTTTTCGATGAGTAAGAAATAAAATTTATCAACAAATTCTTATCAAATGGCTTAATATTCAGCGACTGAACCTTCAATAAATTTTCAAAGTGTGTTTTTTTCTTCGAATGAAAAAATCATAGACAATAACATGACGTGAAAACACATACCGCCTGTGTGAGCAAATGCTTCAATGTGAATCGGTATGAAAATATAATTATTCTCCAATAAAAGTACTGTTTATTATTTGATCAGAGATGCAATGAAATTTGACGACACTGTGAAGTTTTGATATAATCAATAATCCGAAAAACAACGAGCGATCAAGATCGTATGGCAATGAAAAATGATATGTTCTTATTATTTGACGATTATCTTTCAAAATAGGTGAAATTATGTTGGATTTATGAAAATTTATGTTAAGAAGGATGTCAAATTTTCATATAACGAATGAGTCGAGTATTGTTTCTGTATAGTTCATTCTAATATATCAGAATACTCAAAATTTTGCGACCTCGTGTTTTTTATGATCAATCATAAAAAAAGATCCGAAGTGTTCGCAGATTTTTTTCCGAAGGGTCAATTCGCGAAAAATTTTGGTGTACTCTTTCGATTGTGATGCTATTTTGGATATTTCAATGAACAATATTTCTCGCTAGGTTTAGAAAAAGTGTACGCCACGTACTACAACACAAAACCACCAGCAGGAGCTATAAAACGTCAATGATCATCAAGAGGAATGTCACACGAGATCACATCTAAAGCACCGAAATAGAACTCTACATTTGTCGCTAAAAATTAAAAACGACAAATAGTTGTTGTCACACAATTGAAATATCCCATTTAGCTGGCTAATTTATGTCATCTGTTATGTGATCAGTTAGCTCAATATATTGTCTAATGTATACTACCCGCTCAGAGGATATATAAAACCAGACAATATATTGAGCTGACTATTCATTTGAAATGAATCGAAATAGCACGCTATTTTGGACATTTCGATTGTGTGAAATTAACAATTTGTATCCTCAGCGTGTGAATTCAAAAAAAAAAACATTTAAAATTAGAACTCTATATAGCGTGCAGTTTCGTTTAAACGAAACGCTCAATATATTGTCTGTATAAAACCCGCTCAGCAGGTAAATATGATCCACTCAGTGGTGTATAAAACTGGGTAAAAAAACACTACCCGCTCAGCGTTTCCATATTCTATTTTGCATTTATTTAACATTCGAAACAGTTTTATTTATAAAAAATACACATATCAAATCACGTAATATATTTCTGGAACTAAAGACAAAATCAAAGACCATTGTCAAATTTTGTATGAAATCTATAATGTTTTGATTTGCATTGGGCATTTATGGAAACGTCACATATTAATGTGGCGCTGTAATCAGTGTGTTTCAAATTATTATAAATTGGGCACAGGTCTTTACTTTTTACCTCCCTTCTTCGTATTCGGGACATTTTTTGAAGTAGATGGCTTTGAGGTCGAAGCATTCTTTGTAGTACTAGTACTGCTTGGTGTGCCCGCCTTACTGCTCTGACCCAGAATACTTTTTAAAGCTTGACTACCACTGCAGATGACAAAAAAAATATTTTAAAGCTAATGATGTAAAGTTTATGAGAGAACATTTCCCTACCGTTCCTTTAACGCAACTGACGTATCCTTTCCGGAATGTAAATCTTCAGCCAAACCTTTTTTTTATTTAACAAAAATTATAAAATTACTTGGCTTGATCATTAAATAAATCTAAAAAAACACACATACCGGTACCACTTGCGACCAAACCACACAACGCACGTATAACTCTTGCGGCACTAATTGACGAGAGTGAGAATCATTGACTTTATTATAGTAGTCTGTTTGCTTCATTTATCGGTTGAATTTCATGTAAAGTGTAAAATAATTGTTCTCACACACCTGTTGTATCCCGACATATACGCTTCTTTTGCTGCTTCGTTTGCATCATTTGTTTCTTTGTATTTTTGCATACCATCGGCTGCCGCTTTTGCCAGCGAAGCGGCAATAAATGCTGGAATCGGGCCAACCGTCCAAGTCTTTAAATTAAAAAATAATAACAAAACTAATACATAAAAGGTTTATATTTGAAAATAAAGGCTCTCAAAAAGTTACCGCGGCTACGTTTGCGCCTGTGATCAAGCTATTTGCAACTTTGCCTAAAACAATGAAAAGTCAAATTGAGTTCTTGCAATTGAACAAAAATAACTGTTCTAAAAAAAATTCATTTCAAGCTATTTAGAGATAACAAAACAGTTTTCAAAACAAAACAATGGTGTTTATGAAATGTTGTATAATATTCGGCACATCCTTTGAATATTATGAAACTAAGAAAATAATTTTAATCCCCTAATCCTATTAAATTCTTCGATAATTTACCTTTTGGATTGTTAATGACTTCCGCCTTGATATAATCGATAGTTTCTTTGGCTCTGTAGATTATAATTTGAATATTTAGAACAAATTTTCATGATTTAAATCAAAAATTGCATACCGATGATTGAATGTCTCTTTAATGTCCTTTCCGTCCTTGATGTCCTTTACCATAGCAGCCCCAGTTATAATTGCACCAATTCCTTTAGTTACAAAACCAGCAGCGCTAATGGATGAAATTGATTGAAAATGTGTTGTCATAGTGTACGTGTATGCTTTTATTGAAAACAAACCCAGAAAAACCTTCCTCCGCTGCTGCTCGTGATGCGAGCGCCATATCATTTGTTTCTTTATATTTTTTTAAACCGGCGGCTGTTCTATAGTATCATGAAATGCCAATTAGATTTTATGAAATAAGTAAGATCGAAATGCTGCGTACCCTTTTGCAACTCCAACCCCGATAATAGCATCAAGTGGTCCAATTCGGCAAAAACGGCTCAAAAGTGCCGCTCCCGTGGAAACCACGGCTGGATCCGTCAGTTCATCTGCATTCCTTTGCGGTTCTGCCAATGTGGTCGATATGACACAGCACACTAAAGCGAAAGTAGCGATGAACTTCATTGTTTCAATTATAAGATACAACTGAAGCAAGTTGATTATCGACTTCTTTTTATATGCATTTTTAAACGAATAATTCCATTTTTTTAAGCTTTGTTTATAATTTATTCAAATTTGGTTTTCGTCTCTATCGAAAACACACTTTCTTATGTTATGGCGTAAATTCAAATAAGATTGTAATATTGAGAATAATAGATTAACTCTTATTATTCAAAATTGCACTACGAATATGCATTTATTTAAATTCCGAGACGTTTCGTGTCGAACGGGTCTATGGTTTCAATCGTCTGTAGCCAGTTTCAAATTTGAGTTACCAAAAAAATTAATGAAAACAAGTTTGACGTAGACGTTTGCTCGATAGGATTCGTGGCATTTATTGTTTCTGCGCCATTTGTATTCAAAAAAAATTTACCCAGACAGATGTTCAGAACACGCTCTCGTTCAATTTTCGTTTTGCTTATTTATGACATCGATTAATTCGCTAATTCTTGCATGTACTTGATATAATGTACATTTATAAATATTATAGTAAATAATAATTTTAAATTTTGAACATTTGGATCAGACGGTCAACGGAATTTTTTTAATTATAATAATAAAGAAGTGCCAGTTACGACAATTAATTTCAAAAGAGATTGAGTGAAAAAAATTAATTGTTGCTAACTAAATGATAAAAAAATATAATTGATCGTGTATTGAGAAGTAAGATATGTTCCAGAGATAGGGAACCATTGTTTATAGTAAAAGCACATATTGTTGTATTAATTTGACTTTAATAAACATTCAAACCAATAAATAACAATTTTGTAATCGATTTTTTGCATTAAACACAAAAATTCGCACAAAGCTATTTCCAAGCACTTTATTTTGTCTTTCGTCTACTCGTACTCGGTTCATCCTTCCTACTCAGTATGCGTTTTAAACTCGCACGTGATGTGCTCGGACTAATCAAATTGCTCGCGTCACCTGTATTTCTCTTTTTGGTAAGAAGACTCTTGAAAGCTTGACCGCATCTAAGATTAAAAAGGTGAATTAGAACCATGTTTAAAAATTCAAAAACAAATGTGTGTACCGCTCTATCACTGCTGTTTTCATATCTTTTCTTTGATACGAAATATCTTCTGCCAAATCGACGGAACTTGCTACGATCGTACACACCGCTTGAAACAATTCAGTGGCACTAATCGATTAAGAAATTGACAATTGGTTGATAAATATTAGCCATACGCTTAACTTTCGCCAAAAAATAAATTCTGATAAATGATTACAAACCTGTCGTATGCAGTTCGAGCAGCCGTTTTCAAACTTTCTTCTAAGTCACCAGTATCAACAAATTTTTGTTGACCTTCTAATGCACTATTGGATGATTGTAAATAAGTTTGAATGAATATATTTATGCCAAAAATATCTTGTGCATTATATTTCTAACATGGATAATTCGTACTCATATTATCGATAGTTTTTATTTCATTTTAAACACTCACGCTCTAGCGATTGTTGATGCTATCCATGCCGGTATAGGTCCAACTGTCCATGTCTTTAAATTAAAAATATTAGAAAAACTAACATAAATAAATATTAAAATTTATAACAAAATTAAACAAATTACCATTGCGACATTGGCACCGGTAAGCAGTTGATTTGCAACTTGTCCTTTTGGTTTTGTCAAAATCTCGTTTTTCAAGAAATCAATTGTGGGTTGCGTTCTGAACATGAGAAAATAATGTTTATCAGATTTTTTTATAGTGTATGACGAATGAATTTTCATACCGATGAATAATTACATCTTTTGGATCTTTGGATTCTCGAATATCATTTGCAATTGATGTTCCCATTATAGCCACATTTGCACAAGCTATTATAAAATCAGCAGCACTATTTGATTTGAAGTGAATAAAAAAATTAATCAGTAAAATAAATGAAAAAAATGCAATTTTTCACAAACCCTTTTATTCCATGTTGAGCAGCCACATTTGCAGCCATAAATGCATCGTTTGTCTCTTGATATTTTTTCACACCTGCTGCGGTACTAAATGACGGAGAAACACGATTGCCTTTGTTCTTATTTGTTTCAAAAAATATTATTCAAATTCGTCTTACGCTCTGCCGATTCCAAGCGATATCAATGCATTTGAGGGACCACATAACTTTCCGGCAACGACGGCAGCACTAGTTATCAATAAAGGATTTATTGGGTCTTCAACGTCCGGGTTTGTCGGTGCTGTCCATGTATTCGAAACAAAGCAGCAAACTAATGCAAATTTTAAAAAGTACTTCATTTTTTGATTATAGAATTCAACTAAAACAAACCAATTTTCGACTTTCTTTTATATCTATCATAAACGAACAGATATTTTTTTTACATTTGTGTGCCAATAGTGACGAAAGTAAATTTTTATGCCAATAATAAATTCCATTTTCTTTATAAGTCTAGAATTTTATAAATAAATTCTCAACCAATTACGCAAAATAAAGTTAATTACGTCTCAATAAATGTGAGAACAAAGAATTGAATTTACATGACCTCTATGGAAAATTGGATTGACAAACTAAACCATCCGTAAATCGAAAACCACCTGCAAACTATCTAATATTTAATAAGGGCTTTTACATTCTAAGCGAAAACATAGGCTGGCATGGATAAGTTCGGACCAAGATGTCCAATAATTTTCTTCCGATTACTCGTTAAATTTTGGTAATGTTTGGATGATTCACCAAAAATTTCAGAATTATAATAAATCCTAATTTCAAAAAAAGCAGTCAAAAAAAAAAGACTGAGACGATTCATAATGGGTACTCGTGCACCGAAAACACAGGCATAACAAATTCAGAGTTTATTTGAAGAATGTTATTTAAATGAGTTGCTAGTAATTGCGTTTTTCGCAATCAAAGATGTGGAGTGGAGGACTAACCTATTTTTCACAAGGAGGGCTCATCAAAGACAACGTAGCTTTGCGAACAAATAATTTATCAAGCAACAAACTTTTATGAAGAGAGCTTCTTTGAGGGGAAAGTCGATCATTGTTTTGAAAACTTTACGATTTTCTATTTTCACATAGACTTTAGCCGTAAAATAGGCAAAGAGTTTTGCCTATCTCAGTACCTTTCCAAAATATTTGATTAACAAGGTGAAATTCTGTTTTTTATCTGACTCGGTCATACGTCCTCAAGGGAAAAATTTAAGGGGGGGGGGGGGTGTTTAATTGAAAAAAATCGAGAGGGGTAAGCTAAAAATTGAAGTGTATTTTGCGAAAAGTATACTTTTTTTCGTTTTTTTTTGCTCTTCACTTTTTTGGCGAAAATCCCTAGCAAATTAAAAGAATTTTTCTTACATTGAACACAAAACTAAGGAGCAAAAAAAAGGTCCTTTGGCGGAAATTGAAACACTTCGTCGGAGGAGAGGGGGGGGGGAGTGTAATCGGACCACTCGGACCACTCGGACCCCTGCTGAGGACGTATGGACTCGGTAGGATGGAATGTTTAAAGTCACACTTAAAAATGGATGTCAAATGGATGTTGAAAGTCACACACTTGCTTATGTAAATGGGTTTGAAAAAAGCTGCTGGAAACAATTCAAAATGAAACAGCAACGAAAGCGTAATCGCCTAGAAATAATATCTTCAAATTAATGAATAACAGCAAAATCATTTATTCAATTTTGATAAACATTTTAACTAGTGAATAATTAGAATTTCAGTTTTAAAGACAGTCAACGAAATTCTGCTCGATTTTTAACAGACTCATTGTCCTAAGCTACTTTTCGGCTTCCTCATAACACTTTTAATGGCTTGATTTCCTCTGTATGAGAAAAAATTACATTTAAAACTTGACTTTTGAATTCATTTTTCTATTATTCATATACCGTTCCAAGAATGCATCTTTTGGATGTTTTCCAGCAGTAAGATCTATTGGTCACAAAAAGATAAAAAAAAGTCATATATTATTATATTTGTTTGACTTAGTCAGCTGACTGAGCTGATATCCCGTTAGCTGACTAAATTATACATTTCAATTTTGTGACGCTTTTGGCTATCAAATGTGACATCAGCTCATCTGAATAATCAGCCATACCTTTTGCGAAGCCACTTGTACTAGAAATCAAACCGCAAACCTTTCTCATAAGATCCGAAGTACTAATGGTTGAAAAAAATTGACATTAAATATGATCGTTTTATAGCGTTCAATTTTTAAAATAAAGATGATGATACACACCTGTTATAGCCTGACAATGCGGCTAACTTTGCAGCGTCTTTTACATTATTCGTTTCTTTGTATTTTGCCATGCCGTCAGACATACTAAATAATATTGAAAATGGGTTAAAAATACAATTTTTATTATATTCTTGAAAATTATACTGACGCCTTGAACAATGAAGCTGTCACCCAAGCTTGAACCTATATCGATTATGATGTCAATTAATAATAACCCATGTAGGTAAACCTTCAAACTGTCACTTACTGGTCCAACGGTTAGACATAACGCAACATTGGTCCCTGTAATGATTGCATTAGCCAATTTTCCATTTGGATTCTGTGTAAGTTCTTCTTTCAGATAAGTGGTTAATTCTCGAGTCCTAAAAAAAGTTACATTAAAAATTCCTCTTGACATGTAAAAAAATGTTTTAGTACCGATCTTCAAGTGCAGCTCTTGCATCTTTTCCATCCTGAATATCTTGTATCACATTAACCGCACCAACAGCTGTACTCTTGGTAGATTTTATGAACGAGGAAGTGCTGAAATTTATCCAAATTCGTACTAATTAATAAATTGATTGCTCTCAAATTGAGAGGCCTCAATGCTATACATGATCGATGGCAGTCCGCTGATTACGGTAGATAAGATCTATTAGATAGATATGACCATTGCTATCTTTAAGTTGGCTCTATCTGAAGATAGATTAACGATTTCAAATCATTTGATACCTCAAAAGTTCATTTTTTGCATGCCGTATGTTTTCGGACCGCCACCGGTGGATTGTATGCTACTTACCATTGGATTCCATATACTGCTGCCGTCTGAGGAAAACAAATAAAATAATTGTTTAATTAACGTTTGTTATTGGAATGTTGAATGATGTACCGTTAGTGATTGTGTCAAATCATGGGTCTCTTGGTATGTTTTCACTCCTTCATTTCCACTAAATATGTTTAAAGACAATAAAGTAAAGAAGAGATCATTAACTTTCAGAGTAGTCAGAGTTTTCGGATCTGATTGGCATGTTCTAGTTATAATAGATTGAAGACTGATAAATGTATGTGTTATTGAACGATCAAATCACGCAGTTAAAGGAATATTAATAAATCCAAAGAATCCTGCTCCAGCAATAATGAAAACTAATCTTTTTTCGATACATTTTTTATTTAAATTATTATTACGCTTTAGTCAGTCCGACAGCTACAAGTGCGCCAGCTGAACCCCATGGACAAACTTGTCTCAATGTGTAAGTAGCTGCAGTGACCAATGTGGGATCCGGCAAGTTTTCTTCACCTTGTTTTGTGTCATGTGCCCAAGTATTGGACATAATACCGAAAATTATTGCAAGAATTAGAAAGCACTCCATTGTTCTGATGATTTGATGATAAAGTTCAACTGAAACAAATCGAATAACAACTCATTTTTATATCCTCCTCCTCAATGAATAATTTGTTTAAAAAAATTGTTTTTTTTTCTTGCCAGAAATAAATTATAATTGTTTTGAAAAGGGTTTCGAATATAAATTCCTTTACCCGGTGGCGTGATACTATTTACAATGAGAATATTTTGACAACAAGACATCTACGAGTGGCTTAGGCCACAATTGTAACTATGAGATACATATATGGTATGTGCAAAAACTCATACGATGTAACAAATATTGCAATTGAATTATCATATTCGCAATGTTCCACGAATATTATGCCGTTGATCTGTTAATTTAAATTGTGACATAATAATAAATAAATTCTCGAAAACGTTTCTTTATTCAAATCATTATTTTGAACTTTAATCAGCCGTAAATTAGGCAGACCGTTAAATAGATCATCTATGAAATGTAGTTAAACAAAAGACAATTCACAAGAGTGAATGTAAAAAAGTATTCCATTCTACGAAAGAATACTTATCACGCCAATTTCTCTACTCGCGTACAGAGAAAAAGTCCTTCAATTCACGACATTTTATTCGGAAGAAACTATTTTTTGATCAGAAAATAAAAGAATAGAAATCTTTTGATGATTGATATTTATTTGATTTTGATTGAACAATGAAATTAACAATTAATTCATAATTTTTGGAAAATGTTTCAGGGTTTTTTAAAATCATAGATGATAAATATTACTTTTTATCTTGTTTTTTCACAATTTTCAAACTTTCTAGAGCTTGGTTGCCCCTTAAAAAAGAAGAAAATATTACATTCACTATGAGTTGAACAATTGATCATACTTGATATAATAAAATTGTTTTACCGTTTCATGAATAAACTGTGTGGATCTTTGCCCCAAGAAATGTCTATTGCGAAGCCGACACCACTTGTTACCAAACCATTCAGACTACAGATAATATCCATGAGTTCGGAGGCACTGAAAAAATTAAAAAATTTCACTTAGAATATAAGTCCAATGAAAGTGTTTTTGGCATGTTTTTCTCTTGGTTTCAATCTATTGGATAACAAAAACAAAGTATTTACGTACCTTCTATGTCCAGACTCTGCTGCAACCAAAGAGGCTTGAAATGGATTATTTGTCTCTTTAAACTTAGCCGCTGCTTCGGAGGCACTAGTGAAAGTACAAATATATAAAAAGAATTCTTGAATGGAACGTTTATTAAAACAACGACATTGAAATACTTACGCAAGTGCCAGTGTTGCGGATGACCAACCCACTAAAGGTCCCATGCTACAAGTTGCTACAATGTTTCCATTAGTAATCAATGCATTCGCCACCTGCAAAAAAAAAAAACGAACGAAATTTGCGAAATATAGTGACCAAGTAAGTAAATAATCAATTTTCGGCAATTGTTTCGCACCTCCCCATTTGGATTCTTTACAACTTCTTCCTTCAAGTATGAAACAACTTCTTTTGTTCTTTGATGAAGTGCGTCTCTTGCATCCTTACCATCATTTATATCCATTACAACTTTTCGGATTAAATTTCCTCCATTTGCTGCCACGCCAGCCGCACATTTTAGAAATGTAGAAACACTGCTGACTGATTAGAATGGACCCAAAAATAAATTTTAGTTAGATTACAAACCTAGCTATACCGTATTCGCCGGCCACTTTGGCTGCAAGTATTATATCCTTGGTTTCTTCAAACTTTTTCACGCCAAAGTTTGCACTAACGGAAAATGATGAATTCATTTATTACTTAATTTTATTCGAATTTCATTTTTAAAAAGTATCATTACGCTCTTATAGCTTCAACAAAAACCATTGTTCCGACGATTCCGTAATTTTTTCCTAGTACACAGCTAGCTGCAGTTACCATTGCCGGACTAGGTGCTCTATTAGTAATAGTTAATTTATTACTACTTTGAGACCCTCTTGCCAAAGTGTTTTTTGGCACCACACAGCTAACTATAACTATAGTAATAATTAAAGAGCACTTCATTGTTTTGACTTCACTTTTGATGTAATCAAACTGACTGAGCGTCAATGCACTTTTATACACAACATCAATGAATCTCTATTGTACTTGTCTGTAATAAATTATATCTTTTTTTTTTTTAATTTTTAAATAGCACAAATTCGGAGACTTCTTGCAGATAGTTCAAATAACATGATGTCTCCTTTTTTTTCAAATATTTCATTCAATAAAATATAAAGCCAATATTAATTTTTTTGATAATAAATAATTCACAATTTATTTGGATTGGTATCCAACGGGGAAGACACCGTTTTTACTTAAGCTTAATAAGTTCTAGCAATTTATATTGGGATGCTAATATTTTTCTAGTAAACTCTAGTAACACTTTTACAGTTCCTTGCCAGGGACCGGGTCGCGTATAATTTTATACTAGCATAAAAAACGCAGGCAGTATAATTATACAAAGTATAAACGCAGACGCAACATATCCATCGCTGTTCGCTATGTATGTTCGTGGGTGCATGTGACCATTGAAAGACGCACGCACATACACTGTATTTATTGAGCGCAGCACAAAGCAAACAGCGACATTTATGCAAAATACCGAAATGTTCCCAAATTTTATGGCTCGACTTTTTTGCTATGTTTTTGAGTACATAGCCATTTGTGATTGTAAATTCCTCTTCGAATTCAGGAATTTCACGTGGAGGTTGTACAGGTGATCTTGATGATAACGATGATCCGCTGGATCCACTGGTACTTTGTAAATATTCAGACCCCGAATCAGAAAATGGTTCACTTGTCGGCAATTCATATTCAAGTGAAAAATAAGAAACAAATGGTAACTCACCGAAATAATTTTTGATTTATATTGAATAGAAATATCAATTAATCGAATCACGCAAAACTGATTAAAAACAAAATAAAAAACGCTTGCGCGTTGAAAACTAACGATGACTTATGTTGCTTGTGTCGTAAATGAAATGAAATGCTGAAGTTCAATGTCAAAGCGATTGAATGCGATGTCATGCATTTTCGTTTGACGCAGGGTTGCTTAATTTCAGTTAAAAATATGAAATATTGACTGTGATCCAAAAGAGCAAAATTGGAACAAGCGTTAATTAAATAAAATTTTCATTAAAATTTCATGCCATATCTTCTTTTCTTCAGTTTTTAACATATTTTTTTCGTATAATTGATTGCGTTTAAGTACGTTTGAAATGTATGCATTGCAAATTTGATTTTTTGAATTCGAACACGTCACCAGACGGCGTTTTTACAATTTGACATCTTTCAGTCATGTTGGTTCAACCTCTATGAGTGCCTGGGCGATATAGGCGAGAAAAAAGTCGCACAATAAAACGCCATCTGTTGACGTGGTTATCAATGTATGTGGTTACAAGCTTGTATTTACGTCACATTGTTGAATGGTGCTTAATTCAATTCTCATATCGTTTATTTTCAACCACCATTTGGACACGTCACCAAATGGCGTTTTTACAATTTGACATCTTTCAGTCATGATGGTTGGAGCTACTTACTCCTGCTTACTTACTCGAAGTATTTCTACTTTTTTAAAAATGCCTGCTACTTGCTACTCGAAAATGCCACCTACTACTTGCTAGTAGCCTGCTCCTAACTTACTTGCTTCCAGCTCCGGTTGCGTCTGCGTTTATACAAAGTATAACTATTCTATATGCGAACCGGTCCCTGTTCCTTGCATATATGGCCACAGTTAAAATTTAAGGAGGTTTCATTAGGGTGTTCCGTGATAAAAATCACAGTATGTTATGTTTCTGGAATCCTAATCGTCAGCTGCTTGATTTTGTACGGCAGCATTTTGATTCTGTGGTCTCAATAGTTGCGGATGAATGTCTAATCCCAACACCGTACAAAGACCTGAAACCAAAATCGTAAACAACAAATTTTTAGCCAAAACATTTTTAAACATTTTTAATTTCAATGATCATTTTTCACTTCTGTACATGACAAGCGGGGTTGGCGTATATGAGATTGGGAACGTTTTTATGCGAACGCAGCTGATCAGCGCCACCTCACATTAGTTCGAATAAGATCGAAAAACTCAATTTAATTCTGTAGCATTGAAATGAAAAAGAGAAAAAACAACAACAATAGCACGGCCACACAGAGCTGTACATCTATGCGTGCTGATGCATACATACACATATACGCTTTCTTCATTCTTTCATTCCATTGTTATACGTATCTCACTGGTCAACAGATCTATGTAGCCATGTTACTGTTGTTGTTTTTTTTTCTCTTTTTCGATTCAATTCATTGTAACTAAATTGAGTTCAACTATGGAATACAAGATGGCACAGATGAGGGGAATTCGCATTTTGTCTCTTCATAGGCTTAGCCGGTTGGTACATGATGTTCTTGGCTGCAACGATATCCCGGAGCCAAACAGTTTTCAATTGAAATGGATAAAAAATAAGTATAACTTCCATACAAAAAGTTCCAATATTTGGAATAAATCATTTTTTTTTTAAATGTGAATTTTGTGAAAATAAAATGTTTTGTTCACATGCTGAATTACAAGCATTACTGACAGTATATTTACTTTTAGGCGATGGTTGAACCTAGTGGTATTGAACCTGTACATCGATTTGGTCATCAACAACGAAAGATTCAAATGATTGAAATACCAGTCGAAAAAAGAATGCCATTAAAAAGAAGGTCAACACTATTGGAAGCACACGAAAACCTTATCTTGTTCTGCTTTCAGGCAACAGAATGCTGGAAATTGCTGCGACTTAAAGCCAAAAAAGAAGGTTTTGGTCTTGAACATAAAGCTGCAGAATATTTTCAGTTTGGTAAAGAAAATCCCGAAAAAATTCGAGCCGACCTACTCCAGATTCAGATGGAAGAAGAAGCCCGCATAATGGAAAAAAAGAAAGAAGCGCGCAAGCGCATGAATGTGGAAGAATACTTGAAAAATTTTATACGAAAACCAAAATAAAATAAAATGAATATCAAAATAATGACTCACATAGTAGTAGTAAGCTAAAAAGATTACGGATTAGATACTTACCCATTTAATACGAACTTCTTTTCACATAAAAATGTACATATGCAGGCTCGTTTTGAAATAAATATCTTACACCTTCGAAGAATTTCGAGTTGAAGGCATCACAAATGGCGATATCGAAAGACTGAAGTCAGCCGGGTACCATACATTGGTATCACTCATATGTGTACCAAAAAAGACATTGATGTAAGTAAAAAAAAAAT